GAATCTCTAGAAGCTTCATCCATTGTTCCCTTGATTGTTCAAGAGGGGATAGATATATCTCTAAGTGAACAAACAAGAGAACCATGATTGGAAATTCAACATGATAATATATAAGTGAAACTAGTAGAAATATTAGTATCACATGTAAAGGAACAATATCAAGGATAAGCGGATCCTCAAGAAATTGAAGATCCATCATTTGACCCACTATTTGTTTTACCTATAAATACACAAGGTCTAATGCAGTACATTCGTAGTAGGAGAGAACCTTGTTAACTCTCAAGTTGTCTCTTGTTGAGTGATATTGATCCTACTAGTTACGATAATACACTAGAAGATGTTGTTGATCAAGTGTTGCTCACGCTATGAACAATGAGATGAAATACTTGTATTTCAACTCCGTTCGGTCCTAGTAAAGACACAAGGAGGGGTAAAACCCACAAGGTGCATGTGGACATAAAAGGCAAAGAGAGGATGAACAGAAAGGTGAAAACCTTCAAAGCTAGCTTAGAGGCATTTTTTGCCAGACGCCATGCTTGAGTCTATCCAGATTCTCTTAATTGCTATAAGTCTCAATTATGAGATTTCATTTTGGGAGTTGGATGTCAGGATATCTACATACAACAACCAAAAGGGTTTATAGCAAATGAGCAGGAACACACGGTATGCAAGTTGTGAAAGTCTATTTCATAGACTTAAGCAAGCATCCAGGTCTTGAAACATCATTTTTGATCAGGTTATCAAAATTTTGATTTTGAGAGAACCTTGATGAATGATGTGTATTTGTATGTAAAGGATACAACAGAAGACAATAGCTTTTCTGGTACTTTATGTAGATGATATGCTCCTTATTGGAAACATTGTGGAGGTAATATCAAGCATAAAGAGTTGGCTAAGTTAGTGTTTTGGTATGGAAGTACTGGGGAAGCCAATTATATTCTTGGTATAAAACTCTTATGAGACCGGAAGAATAAGTTGTTGGCATCACCTCAGGCTACTTATATTGACAAAACCCAAAATTCAACATGAGAATTCTAAGAGAAGAATTATAATTCTCAGATGTGAAATTCATCTTCCTAAGGAGTGACCAAAGACTTCTAAGAAGGAAGAATGCATGAGCAAGATATCTTATGCTTTGGCAAAGGTAGACTCACGCATATCATGTTGGGCGTTAAACCAAACATCTGTCACGCAGTGGGAGTAGTGAGATAGTACCATTTTGAACCTAGAGGAATACTAGATTATTGTTAAGCATGTACTCAAGTATCTTTGGAGAACGAGAGATTATATGCTGGTTGGGAGTCTTGAAAAGCTGAGTTTTCAAAAATTCAGTTATTTCAAGTGGATATTGACTCAAGAAAATCAACCTCGAGCTATGAGTTTTTCACTAAACTCAGATAGCATTAGAGGTGGATCTTGCAGACCCAGTTACTAAGAGTTTGCCTGAACTTGTGTTCGAGAGGCATGTTACTTCTTTGGGTCTTAGGAGGATCCCAGACTTGCATTAAGCAAGTGGGAGTTATTGGTTTCATTGTGCTCTTGGAGTAAGACAATGAAACAATAAAATAATTTTCTGAATTTCATAAATAAGGTTTTATTTATTTATTTTGCGCACTACTTACAAACATAAAGGTCCGGATCAAATTGTGGAGTATATGATCATATGGATACGTTCATAGAGGACATGATCATAGGTTCTCACAATTGATGAATGGATTCACAGCTGTTAAATAAAGTTGGGCACTTTATTTAGGCTGCAATATTTTATGAAATGGTTTTGTCTGAATCATTGTAAAATATTGGTGTGAATTAACATTCACATTGAAAGGATCAAGGAGAGATTTGATTAAGGTTGTTTTTCTGTCATAAGGTATCAAATCTCCAGTTAACTATAGTTATGAGATTGCTCTTAATCCTGAGTTTATTATAAATAGGTAATCAAATAGTTTTCATTCTTTGATTTACCAACGGGTGAGGTTCGATCTATTGACGGCCAATAACTCGGTATTTTGGGAGTGAGATTATTTGATTATCGGTATTTATGAGATAAACAACATGGAATTTGTAGGATATGTCCCCTTGATATGTTTCGGTACTTGGATATTAAAGACACTGGCCAGTGCACGTAATCCATTAAAGAAACTATCATAGTCAAGGGAATAAATAATTGATTGAGTTACAGAAAACTTGTCAATCAATTATAGACATTCTACAAAGGGGCGATGCATATTCATGTTATAAGTGTTGTTAATCTTGGAGTTCAAGTTCGGGCTTTTAGTGGAGTAGCACCGAATTAGATAATCATTCGTTGATTATCAGGAGCCTTGATTAATAACAGATGGTAGATCCCCAAGCTAGCTTGAGACAAGGGATGGGGTATTTTTCGGATAGATGATGACTTATGGGTTACATGATCTTGGATTTTACGACTCAAGTTTGTATCCAAAAGAGCAAGTGGGAGATTGTTGGGTTTGCTCTTTTACTAAAGCCCAAATGGGTTATTAGTATGAGAAGAGCCCAAGGAACCTAGAGCCCAATGAGCTAGGGTTTCTTGGAACCATATAAATAGTACCTCTTAAGTCATCAGCCTCCGAGGTCTTTTTTGTGAGAAAGAGGCAAGCTCAGAATCTAATCAGTGCCCACACACTTCCCCTTCCTCCTCGAGAGATAGTTTGGAAGATCTGCCACAGTCCAGCTTCAAGGAGGTTGTTCGTGCTGCGGCGCTGAGGTGAGCTGTTCGTGAAGAGGAATCCTACAAGGGAAGATTCTACACGAGACCTGCGCACCGAGAGGTAATTGAGAAACAAGGATGATTCAGTAAGCATACCAATGTACTAGGTCCTAAACCGCTTCCGCATAAATCTAAGATTTCCTTCATAGACATCACTAAAAATTCATAGTGCCCCTCATAAGCATGAAATGTTGTTTTAGGATTATCTTCTTCCATCATCCTTATTCCGCGATAACTGAATTTAAGACCTAATTTAGAGAAGACACTAGACCCCTCTAGTTTATCTAGTAGAGTTCATCAATGATAGGGATTAAGAATTTATCCAAGACTGTGATTTTGTTTAGAGCCAGATAATCAAAACAAATTGCCATCCTCCATCTTTCTTTTTAACCAAAATTATGGGGCTTGAATATGGATTCATACTGGCTTTGATAATTCCTACTTCCAGTATGTCACTGATAGGACCCAGATCAAATAACAGTAAAACAGAGACAAACAAACAACAGTGTTTTTTCCCAGAAAAGGAACTGGATTTTTTATATATTTGAACAAGGAAATTACAGAATTCAAATACATTTATCAGTAAAATACTCAAAGCAGAAAAGCTAAATTTCAGTACATTCGAGAGGGGTACTGACTCTCCCAATTCCAAGTCCAATATTTCCCAAGCTCCTTTACACAATACATATTCCCCTCTTATACTTAGCCTAACCTCCTAAAATATTCTGAAGTTAGTTATGCCACCTCATTGGTAGAACATAATTCCCTACATGCACCTACATGAGTATATTCCTATTAGTCACCTACCAGTTTTTCTATCTCATCTTCTGGTAAGGGTATCTGTCAGACTGATACAAACCAACAATGTCATTTACAGAAATAGCACCAGAATCGTAGCACAATTCATGAAATACTAATGTGGACAGTATATTAAGAGCAAACAGAGCAGTGTTCAGCAGCTTTTACAATAATAGAGACAATATAATCCTAATTACAGCAACAGTAATGGAAGAACAATAACACAGGGACTCAATTACACTAAGAAAAGAAGTACATGCAGAAAGAAAAGATAGTTCTAGAGCAATTCGAGAGGCTCTAGACTCTCCCAAGTTCCAAGCCTATTCCAAGTTCAAGATGATCCCCCCATGCTTCCCATGCCTCCCTCTTATACAGCTAACTTTCCCGCCCATTTTCAGTTGCACATCCCTTCCAGATCCTTCCCCTCCTAACAAACCATTAACAAAACTGACTTGCTTGGGCCTGGCCCGTATCACAGACCTTAGTAGGGGTGTTCAAAATATCCAAACTGAACCAGATCCAAATTATCCAAACTGAAAAATCAAAAACTAGTTTTAAAAAGAAAACCGGTTCAGTTCGGCTTTTAACAAAAATGGAACCAAACCGCTCCATGCACACCCCTAGACCTTAGATTGGGAATAGCACACTGGCATGATCATGCCTGCTAGGTGGTGATAAGCCTTGTGACTCACTGAAGACATTAGAAATATCTCCCAAAACTTCCTGAACAGGGCTGGTATTGCCTTTGTTTTGGCCGACTCTTCCAGATATCCCATCGTATTCAAAACAAAATCCCCACCAAATTCAGTAGTTCTTTCATTACTGACTTGAGGGAGGTTTCTCACCAAGATAAAGCTTTTTAAGATTAGTGTATTTTTTCCGGTGGGGATCTATTAAATTGGCCCTTATATCTCCTAAACTATCCAACCAGTCTATCCTCAGTTCCACTTCTTCTCCCCCCCCTATGTGAAATGTGAAGGACTTCAGGTAAAGGTTCAAAATTGAACTCCCATGATATCCTCTCACTTCCTCTTATTATAACCTGCCTCTCACCATTCAGTTAGAGGTCAAACTGCTATCATTAACTAATTCTAACTACTTAAACTAATTGAAATACTTTAACTGATTATGGCTGGTCCATTTGTTCTTTGGGTCCGTCTTTATCTCTTCTAACATAATTTTTCCTAACTTGGCATCTGCTGCTAATAACACATTCCTTCTTAGAAGATTTTAGAAAATAATACTATAATGGGGAAGAGACTCATCTATTATCCTATTAAATGCAATATGAAATTATTTAGACGTTGCCCAATAAATAAAATTACATTTTCCATGTTTTTGTAACAGTTAATGAGATCAGATTCAAACTCGTTGGTTGCAACACCAAAATGAATTTTATAACTTTACATGCATAACATAGCTATAATTAAGATAAATGCTAGGGATAATAACATTAAGGCAGCATGCATACCCATTCTAGAAGATACATCTTCTCTCCTTCCAAACTAGAATCAGAATTAGGCCTCCCACTAACTAACTCTAGAGCCACAACACCAAAGGAAAATACATCTGCTTTCTCTGTAAGGTGTCCACGCATGGCGTACTCCGGTGCAAGATATCCACTTCAGCATGAGAATTTGAGTTTTTTGACAGTTTAGTGTTAATCAAAACAAAAATATGTAACTAAACTATAAACAAATACAATATAGAAAAAATCATGAAACTAATACAAGATGATCAAGTTTTAATACTTACATTGTCCCAGCCACCCGGGTGCTTATATGGGTCTTTTTATCATCATATAATTTGGCCAACCCGAAATCAGATATTTTTGGGACAAGCTCATGATCAAGCAGTATATTACTAGCCTTCACATCACGGTGTACAATACGGAGTCGTGATTCTTCATGTAAGTAAGTTAAACCTCTTGCAACACCCAAGCAGATATCATAGCGTGTGGACCAATTGAGCGTTAAACAATTTCCTGCCCAAACAAGCCACATTTGTCCTTAATTATAATAAACAAGAAATGATTGAATTGTATAATATACTTTCGATATTTGTATTTGTCAGGTTCTTTATTCTCTTTAATTCAACTAGATGTAAATGAACCATACTTTGTAGTCCTATTCCTAATAGATTAATTCCAAAATAACATATCCAAATTAAGAAAACCTATAGAGGCTACTATCGAAGAATTTACACCTTCCAATTTTTTATTTTTTCTAGTATCTAAATAAATTGCAAATATGGTCCAAGTAATAAAAGGCCAGGTTTCCTTTGAATCCCAATTGCAATATAACCCCCATGTCTCATTAGCCCAGACTGCTCCGGAAAGACTACCTATTGTTAAAAAGAGAAATAAATACACGCCTAGACACCATAGTAGTTAATTGCGCTGCAATAGCGCAGTTAATTGCGTCGTAATATCGCAGTTAATTGCGTCGCAATAGCGCCGCGAGCCGCGTCGTATGGGTGTTGCAGTGCCTTACCACAAGAAACCGCGCCGCACTAGAACGCAATAGCGACCATTGCGATCGCATTTGCGGACATATTGCTATCAGAAGGCAAAATGTCAATTTTGTCCTAAATTTAAATGTGTCGCAGAAATTTTTTAAGAGATTTTTAGTCTATCTACGTCTCTCTTTGTCACTTCTTCTATCTCTGCCTTTAAAAATGCTTCTTTTTGTCATATATCTATTCCGCTATTTCTGCAACCACAACCCGCTATAGTGCTATAGCATTTTTTGGGGTTGACCGCGACATGCCGTAATCTGCATTTGATAACTTAGCTAGACACACAAAAAGAAAACAAATATCATTTTCTCATACCAAATAATGCTTGATCAAGACTCTTGTTTTCTAGATACTCATAGACAAGAAGTCTTTTACTCCCTTCAATGCAACATCCGTATAATTTGACAAGATTACGATGTTGCACAGCAGATATAGTAGCAATCTCAGCTATGAACTGGCTCTTTCCTTGATGGGATGCTACGGATAGTTGTTTCACGGCAATAATTCTTCCATCATTAAGTGTCCCCTATAAGAACAAAAAGGAAAATAGAAATTCTCATAAAGAAAGGATTTAGTAATATTAAGCTCAAATGTTGCATATTAGAATAAAACTTTATCACTTTCATCAACAAAATACAACTACAAGCAGTGGCGGAGCCAGGTCCTGGAGGTTAGGAGAAGCACTAACTAGTAATTATAAATTATAATATAATTTTATTAATTGAGAACATTATGACATATATAAATAAAAGATAAACAATAATTAATTATCATAAGTTGAATTAAGAAAAAAAACCTACAATTGTCTTCTATGATTATAATTATCAATGAAATTAGTTACATAAGCTAGAGTTCTAAATATTAGTAGGTCCTGTTATCAAAAAAAAAAAAAATATTAGTAGGTCCAAAGGAATCACGAAACGGAAGTACTAAAGGAATACGAATTCTTTAGGGGGTAATTGGGAAAAGGGGAGGGGGGGGGGGGGTGTTAGTATTTGGGTGTCCTAGAGACAATCTTATGATTAAATAAGGACAGAGATGTAGACCTTTTTAATATTGTCGCAAATAAATAAAAGCACTCTTTATCTTGTTTCATAATTATGTCTCGATATTAATATTAATATATTATGAATAACTTGATAAACCCCGTGGAATAAAATAGGTATCTCTTGAGTATCTGTGATGAGATCACAATCATGAGGATTCAAGAATACCGGATGTTTATTCCTAATTTTATGTTCCTAGTCTAAAGATACTGAGAATGGGGTCAGTAATCTCGGGTAAGACTAGCACGACTTATCTATTTGTATATGGATACAAGGTATATACCTCATGTGCTACAGATATGGAGATGTCTTAGCTAAAGTCGTGGGTGGACCTATAAGGGTATAGCTCGCACTGAACGGACCCACAAAGAGACTCTATGAGGAACTCTCACAGAGAGTATCACTAGAGTAGTCTATTTATATTTGGGTATGTCTTTCCTAAGACCAGAAGTTATTACCTAGACTGTGTTCTAGAAGGCATGCTTTGATTGTGCACCTCGTCTGCCTGAAACATGGAGACTCATAGGTATACTGTTGGGCTTGTCCTGAAAGAACACAGGGCTAGGGTGATAAGCTGAAGGAATTCGTCAAATCTCTGTGAGAGATTAGGTTATCTGTAAACCGGAGAAATCGGGATGACATTTACAGGGACTCGGGAATCTATGCATAGTAAAAGAGATCATGAGATGATCTGCCTTTAGAGTCTGTAAATTGAAGATTCCCTATTTCGAATAAAGCTTACCCTAAACCGCAGGGGTTGATACGCTTCCTTACCCTAGGTTTTATGGGAAGGTAACCGAGACGAAAAAAAATATGTACGGCAACCAAATATGTTTAATAGGATGATCAAATCATTAATCTAACTAGTTCGGGGGCAACAAAGCATTGCTAGTGCTCTGTGTTGTCATTAGATGGGTTGTGGGCTTATTGGGCCCAAGCCCATTTATGTCAGTGGCTAAGTTGGACCTAATGGGTCACACACAAACACTTAATTGTCTAGATGCTCTAGCATTAAAGGTATTGGGCCTAATAATAGTTATTAGCCCAAGAAGTTGTTTGGAACTCCACCTAAAGGGGTGGAGGGCGCATGGTTCATTGTAATGGGCTTGGATAGTCCAAGACATTACTAATTAATTTAATTAGTTAAATTAATTATCGAACATTTAAATTTTGAATTTTGGAATTCGAAATTTGAATTTTGAAATTTTGAATTTTGAATTTGAATTCGAAATTCGAATTTTGAATTTGAAATTTGAAATTTGAATTTTGAAATTTAAATTTTGAAATTTGAAAATTTGAATTTTGAATTTGAATGTTTGAACATTTGAATTTGAATATTTGAATGTTTGAGTTCAAATATTTGAATTTGAATTTGAATTTGAATTGCCTATGAAAGGTTGTTTCATAACAAAAGAATAAGATGAGATCTTGTTGGAACAAATAACTAGTATCATGAGAGAATCTTTTGGACAAGTTCCAAGGCCATATATGGCGCTGATTTGGGTTGTTGGTGAGCAAGATTTGCTCATCAAAATCAGCTCCAGAAGATTCAGTCAGTTGGGAGAAAATCTGAGTGAGTTGATTCAAATTTGAATGCAACTACTCAGATGTATCTGGTCACCTTTTTGGGCTATATGGGGCGCACCATATAGCTGATCTTATGAAGATTTCTGATCAGAATTTTGAATAGGTTTTTGAACCAATTCTCAAGAGAATATTCTAGGAGACTGTTAGCAATTTTTGAAATAAAACAGCTCCACTTCTCTCTCTCCAATCTGGCGCCTAATGATCAGATTTTTCAGGAGAAAAATCTGATTGGTATTTTATTTTAAATACTCTCCTCTTATGCACCTATGTGGTAGTTGTTCCTCCAAGGGTTTTTCTGAAAACCTAGCCTATTCTCTCCTCTCTCCTGCGCCACTTGTGACTCTTTCACATTGAGAGCTTCACTTTTTCAAACACTTTCACCTAGCCTCCATCTTCACACATAGAGTGCCTAGCAAGCCTCTTTGTGGTGATCATCCGGTGGCTTCACAAGAAGGAGTTCTTGCACCTAGACGAGTGGGTGGTGTGGATCAACGTTAGAGGGTCTGAACCCTTCAGACCGGCCTTGATCATCTGGTGATTTCACGAACAAGGTAACATCATGCTTTCCTAAAGCATGATCTTGATGTGCATGTATATTCCGCAAAGAAAAATTTTGTTTTTCCCTCTTGCATGCATCGGCCTTCAAGGCCTTTTCGGACTTTCAAGTGGTATCAGAGCCCGGTTGCTTTACCTTCGACGGGTGATGGTACCTTGTTTGTAATCATATTTTTCATGGTTAAAATCTCTTTAAAGGTTAAAGATTCAATTTTTTATGAATGGATTCTAATTTACAATACTTTAAACGGTTAAAGTTTTTGTTTTTATGAACATGTTATTTCGAATGCCATGTTCATGCATCCATTCATATTCATGGTTGTCTTTTTCTTTATAAAAGTTTTAAAAGGAAGCACCTTTTTGAAGGGTGGAGTTCGACCATGAAAGGTGTTTTGAACACCTTGATTGTTTTCTTATTTTTTTCTCCATGAATTGTTTCATGAGCATGCAATAAAATTTTTTCGAAAATTAATCTCATATACATGAGTATATGGTTCGGCCATTAAGTGTTGATGGCTATATGCATGATTTAATTTTGTGTTCTTTGAGAAAGAGTCAACAAAATTAGAATTATATTAATTGTTATATAATTCGGCCAATTGAAAAATTAAGAAAAGTTTTAAATTTTAAATATGTTTTGATAATTAATTGTTAAATATCAAGACATACGTGAAAAATATATATTATGTGATAATATTTTGTACTTGTGAGTTGTCTAACATTTCAGGTGCAAAAGAGGAAGGGGATGGTCATGGTGCCCGGAATTTGAAATTTCAAATTTAAATTAATGTGTAATTTTGGGCTCTTTTAAAAGAGATGTAATTTGAATTTCAAATTTTGTAATTTAAATTTTGTATTTTAAATTTTGTCCCTCCAAGATGTTTTGGAGTTTCTTTAATTGTAATTAGAGAAATTAGGCTAGTGGCGTATAGACGACAAGAAGCCGAGGCTTGAGAAGCAAGATGGACAAAAGAGCGAGCACCATGACTATCTCAAAATAAAACTGTTTTATTTGCATGTATGTTATTATACGACTAGTATGCATGAGATAGAGTATCGCGATATGTATGCTTTATGACTTATGACGTCTAGTATGCATGAGTTGGACTAAATCGCGTTTGTATGATTATTATGCAAGTCCAATTGCGACTAGTTTAAACCGTTAGATGTATGACATAGGTAACGACTAGCATGATAATATATTAATGCGTTTGATGAGACTTAATAAACCCTTAATAAAATGAACCCTTAAAAGGAATAAAATTATTAAGCGCATGATTACCTCCCACCACCAATATTACTCAAACCTCCTCTAAATAGTGGTGCTCTACAACCCAGTTGGGACCCACTGTTTCGTTGAGTAAGAGTAGTATTAGAAGTGTAAGACACTTGGGGTGCTGGTTAGTGCTTAACTGAGACATAAGCTGCAGGCCCAGCCGGGCTTATGTGCTTAGGGTAATAGTGCTAGGTTGGTTGCATGAGATGCACCACTAAGTGACAAGGAGTTGTCAACCTAATGTTAAGAAAGGGTATGAGATACCATTGATAAAGATCAATCCATTATTTAAATTAATCTTGCGGTCTCAGACGGGGGTTAAAATAAATAATCGCATTCTTAATCCCACTAAGGTAAAATCTAAAAGTAGAAATACCCTAAGTCAAAAGGAAGGGTCATTGACTTAGATAAAATAGTGGGAGGGGCAAAATTATTTAAAGTCTTTAATAATTTTTTTTTACTACATGATCAAATATTAATTAATTTTATCTTTACATTTTTCAGTTAATTAGTATGACTAATACACTGTCACTGCGCTCCATACTTGATACGAACAAGCTGACCGGTCCAAATTTTATGGACTGGTATCGGAACCTAAGAATTGTTCTAAGGGCCGAAAAGATTGCTTACGTCCTAGATGCTGAATTACCCGTAGCTCCTAGGGAAGGGGAAGATGGGTTCGCGGAATATGATTTCGAGGCCCACAAACAGCACATGGATGACAATGTGTTGGCTGTCTGCATCATGTTGGCATCCATGTCGCCTGAACTGCAAAAGCAGCATGAGCATATGGATGCTCCCTCTATTGTCTTACATCTAAAAGAGTTGTATGACATTAAAGGCAGGCATGAGAGGTATGAGGCCTCAAGAGAATTGTTCTCTTGCAGGATGTCTGAGAGCATGTCTGTTGGCAGTCATGTTCTTAAGATGATCGACTAAGTAATGACTTAGTCCTCACCTCACTTCCACCTTCCTTTAGTCAATTCATCATGAATTACCACATGCATGGGATGCAAGTGAGCTTGCCTGAGTTGTTAAGTATGTTAACAACTGCTGAAGTGT